TCTTACATATCACATTTATTTCTCCTCTTAAATTGTTAATGTAAAAATATTAATATAAAATTAGGTTGACTGTGAAACCCTCTTCTGCTAGCACTTTGAAGAAAAGTTGTTCTTGTTTTACAATAGAAATTATAACTATGGTCAAATGAGTGTACTCTTTTTATATCACAAGACTCGCCTCCAGTCAAAGAGGTTAAAAGGACTCAGTAATGTCATAATATATGTACTTGTTTTACCAAGGCTAACAGCATGCTAAAAGTAAGAGTTACACATTTCATCACTGGTTCTCTTTAATGTGTGTTCTTATTCTTATATACAAAAGATAAATAAGCTTTAGCACCAGTCTTATTTCTAAGTGCCAACAGCTTATATTATTATCTTTATATTCAATGAGTATTTATTATGTGGTTATTGTATATTCAGCAGTTTTCTAAATCCTGGGGAGTATAATACAAAGTACATATGATCTCTGCCCTTAGGAGATTATAATGCTTTTGTGAAGTCACAAACTTTGAATGTAATATAAAGTATTTCTGGCTCAAGTTGAAGTTTATGAAGAAATGGAGTATAAATACAGACAAGATTCAGATAAAAATGTCTTTTTGATAGGGTTTAGTCACCAAATATATTTTTATGAAAGAACTGTGATTTTGACCTAGAGAAGGAATTGTCAAGTGCTACAAGTCTACTCAAACCCTGAGTTGTACTATCTCCAAACCCTGACTTAACTATTGCTACTTCTTCTCATCCATAACTGATAGATAAGGAGCCTAAGATTCAGGCCGAGTTATTTGTTCAAGTTCACACAGCTGTAAATGGCAAAATTGAGATGTAAACTCAGATCTCTAAAGTATTAGACTAAATCATGTGAATTTGCTGATATTTGACTGTTTTTGACCTATAAAAATGGCAGTTTTATATAGTTCAGTTTCATACATGTTCTTTGCACTATACCTTTGAATGAACATAGGATCAATATTAAAATCAGGGTGAAAAACAAGGACAGAAGGAATTGTCAGAGGAGAGACAATCAGAATAGGTAAGGTAAACCTGCCAATAGAGGG